AAACTCATATATAGAACCGCACCTCCCTCGCTTCTACCGATAGCCGATTAACGATGACGATCCGCGCACTTATTACGATAATCATCAAGCTGACTCTCCCGCTTTTTCTAACGATCGCGCTTACAATTATTACTAATTTTTTTGATACTTTATTTTAAATTACCTTCCACTTTCATAACCCAATTTCACTTATGTCTCCTAACAAGCCTGTTTCTATCGCTAGTTGGAATTGTAGAGGTTTACGGGGGAAGTTTCCGGAAATTCAGGCTAATGATTATATATACGATCTCTGGTGTCTCCAAGAGACTATGGTCACCGAAAATATTTACTTACACTTTAACATCTTTAATTTTATTAGAGGTGACATCTGCCGCCCCGGCCAACGCGGGGTAGTATTGCTAAAAAATCTCTCCATTTCGATCTTCTTGACCTTACTCATCGGTATCAAGCTTTACACTCAAGGCCCCTCCTTTATCATTATTAACATATACAGACATCCGTCGTCACGAACCCCTCCTACGAGGGCCTATTGAGGGCCTGCTTGATTATGTTGCGAATCAATTCCATGCCATCCTCCTAGGATTTCAACTTGCATAACGTAGCTTGGGGCTATTCGATTATTGATTTTCTTGGCAGATGTCTTTTAAACTTTCTCGAAGATCTTATTATCTGCAACGATCATAAACCTACCCTTTTTACTCCTCCCGACTCGCAAATATCAGTCATCGATCTTATTGTCGTAACGCTTCCTGTCCTGACTCTTAGTAATTGTTATACAGAACTCGACTCCATTTCTAGTGATCACTTTCCTTTTTGTTTTTTTTTTCGTTGTTATTAACTTGAATATTCTTCCTTGCCTAAGAACTACATTCAAGTATAAAATTAAACTTAATTCTCTTCAAATGAAAGTCTTTATTCACAACTTGTATTGACTTTGCTTCTATTTTAGTAACGACAGACGATGCTACCTCTTAATGTGATAGTTTTCTAAAAGAGCTCAAAGGCACCCTAAACTCTTTGTTCCTTCCTGGATCACATACTCCGAAATCAAAACCGACGGTTGAGAAACGTCTCCCCTCCTCCTTAATGGACCGAAGAACGTCAGGCCGCGGTTGACGCGAGGCGAAGAGACTCTGGAACCGCTAGTCAAGTTCAAAAAACTATAACGCTTATAAGCGCACTCTTCGGCATGCAGATGCGTCCTCAGAAGAACCAAGAGAAGGAAATGGAAGGAACTATGCAACAGTTTTAACGCTCATACTCTGTCTACTAAAATTTGGAGGTTGGTCAAAGCTTTTAAAACCCGACGTTTAGCTTCCGTTATGTTATCTAGCCGGTCGCTGTCGGCTGCACAGGAAAATGCAATTAATAAAATCTGTCTTCCCTCTTGTAGTCCTTGAGATATCATTTCAGAGTGATCCTTCTTGAAAAAAATATCCCTACGCAATGAGAAAGCGCTAAATTCTTGGACAATTCTTTTACTATGAAGGAGTTACTCTTAGCTATTGATTCAGCCAAAATTAGATCAGCTTCAGAGGCCGACCAGATTGATTATAACATCATTAAGAACTTAATACCGGATAGTCTTTCCGTGCTATTACAAATCTATAACAATCTTTTTTGTCAAGGAATTTTCCCTGCGGAATGGAATAAGTCAATGATCGTTCTTATCCCTAAACCAAATGGAAAAGATGTCAGACCGATCTCTCTTCTCTCGTGCCTCTTAAAGATTATGGAAAAAATTATCTATCTGAGGTTGAAGTGGTTTACTGCCAATGCCATACTGCCGCTTAACCAAACAGGCTTCCGCCCCTAGTGTGCCTGCTCTGACAATCTTGTTGCTCTGACAAACTATATTCAGGGCGCCTTCATTAATAACGTCCTTACTATATGTCCATTTTTGGATATCGAGGGAGCGTTCGACAACGTGCAACGTTCAACAATTCCTTTTATTTTGATAGAAGATTTACAACGTCTTGGGATCCCGCCTAAAACCGTTAAATTCATAAGTAACCTTCTTTCCAACAGACAAATTACGTTTATTTGTGATGGCGTGCTTAAAGGTTCATATATCGCTTTGAAAGGTACCCCTCAAGGATCCATTCTTAGCCCTTTGCTCTTCAACCTCTACTGTGCGGATATTAATAAATGTCTACATGAGGACATCCTTCTCTTACAATATGCGGACGACATCATTATCTTCTCATCAAACCAAAACGCTGAAGATGCTAGATAGTCGGTCCAATCTTCACTAAACAATATACATGCTTACTTGAGAAACAGGGGCTTGGAAGTTTCCCCCTCAAAAACCCCATGGATGCTCTTTACAAGGAAGAGACAGTCACATCCGGATATTAAACTACACATTCAGAACATAGAAATTCTTAGAGTACAATCTGCCATCTTTCTGGGCTTCACTCTCGACCCCAAATTGAGCAGCAAAGAGCACCTAAAGACCTTGGTCAATAAGGGACGCAATCTTACTAATATACTAGCTGTTCTCGCAGGCACTAAATCGGGATCTCATCCAAGCTTACTTCTCACCCTTTATAGAGCTGTATTTCGCTCTGCTATCGAATACGGATGTTAAGTGTTCAAGCTCAAAGGCAAGACTGAATTTTTACAACTGGAAAGGTCAACAGAAACCTGCGTCTTGTTCTCGGATACTGACTATCTACATCTATTAGCGTCATTATGGCCGAAGCAAAGGAAACCCCTCTTAACATCAGATTTGGCTATATGTCCTCGAAGTTCATTTATAAGGCTTTCTCCAGGAAGAACTCCCTAGTGCTGCACAGCTTTGAAAGCTTGGAACAGGCTGCATACTCTCCCTCAAGAAGACAGCGGACCCTAGCTACTGTACCTGCGTTCAAGTACTATGTAATGCAGAAATACTCACTTAAAATCATCTGCAGATCCAACATGCCTTATACTTATAAACACAGTTATGAAAGCTATTCTTATGTCCATCAATTTGACAGTTCCCTCACCAATGTCCCTAAGAAAGCGAATAACCAAATATACCAAGCTCGATTCCTAGAAACTATAACCACATACGCCAATCGCGATCCCATTATTTACACCAATGGCTCTAAGTCCGTTAGCGAGGATCTGCAATCTATTCACCAGATCTTAACGTTGCACTCAAATTCAAGCTTCTCCCGGAGACTTCAATTTTCTCGGTCGAGTCTTGAACTATTCTTCAGGCGATTAATCTTATTGAAGATGATGTTGTGACGAGGCTTCCATCTGTTCTGATTCTTTAAGTGCTCTTCAGGCTATATCGTCTTACAACTCTAGAAATGCGAACCATATTACATTAGATATTAAGGATCGTCTGTCCTTTTTAACGCAACATGGTTTCAAAATTAATCTTATTTGGACTCCTGGTCATAAAGGTATAATCGGTAACGAGACTGCAGATCACCTTGCCAATGAGGCCGCCCTTAGTGGACACCGGCCTAAATTTAAAATACCATTTTAAGACTTTTTTATGATCTCCAAGCAATCCCTCAACACTAAATTTCAAGCGCACTTAGACAACATTTAAAGGGCAGCTATATGATAATTTTCATAGAAGTAACTCAGCTAAGCCTTGGTTCTATCATAAAAATCTTAAAAGAGAGGAGATCGTCACCATTTCAAAAATTAGACCTAACCATTATAATCTAGCATACAGCCTGCATCGTAAAAATATTGTCAATTCGCCTGCATGTCCTTGTGGTGATCCAAATCAGGACATTAATCATATCCTCTTTTATTGCAAACTTTGTATTCATAAATCAACTAAATTTCGTGATTACCTGAAAAAACACGTCCCGTTTCATCCCCTTAATATTCATTGTATGATTAACAATCCCCCCTCTACCTTGTGTTGTTTAATTACTGCATATCTCAAATCTTTAAATCTCAGTGTCTGATTTCCATGAACATGTTTTTTGTTTTAAGGGAGGGGCGGGAACTTTGTTTCTCTCCTCTCCTCCCAGGCGGCGCCCCTGGTTACTTGTTTCAGCTACTAGGTTCACCCTAGTCGGAATTGCTGCTACTCCGCGGCAAGGGCCGATTAACATCGAACAAGAATATATTGAATGCACCTATTAATCATACAGATAATATGAGAATTAGAATCCCAGGAGGATTACGCAAGGATCAAATTTTTATCGTATTGGCTTTAGGAATAGGAAGTGGTATTTACACTTGGGATTCTGTATTAAAGGAACATATGAAAGAATGTGAAAAAGAACTACAGTTAAATGAGGTAATCAGCGAATCGTACTTAATGATACGATTATAACCTGTATAGTTATATTATCGTATATTTCACGATTATATAATACAACGTTTGATTGTATGTGTGTGTATGTGTGTGTGTATAAATTATAATTACAATTATCTTACATATTAATCATTATCAGTATAATATTATCGATATAATATTAGTACTATTAATATTATATCGATAATAGTAATAATATTAAGATTTTCAAACAAAAAAATAAAGTTTGCATGTTTAATAAAAAAAGAACAAAAAAATAATAAAAATATATTGCAAGGATTTTTATCATTTGTAATTCTTTCTTTAAAAAACTATCACTGTTTGTTTTAAAAACAAATTTTATTATAAGCAAAAATTTTATGAATGATATTTTTTTCTTAAAATATAACATTGTAATAAATTTTAGTTTGATAACGAGAAGCAAAAATCTGCTAGTTAATAAGTTTAGCCGATTGGGGCTTGCAGTGATTGGCGGTACTTTTTCTATAATAGGTTTCAAGTAAATATATATTTTGCTCTATTTTTATGAAGTTAAACAAACATGAAATAAGGATATATGATTAGAACGTAATACATTTTCTTATGCAGATTTTTTATACAGCCATGGTTCAAACAGCGGGAGGCAGCAAAAGCTGAGGAATTTGCAAATTTTATTTATGAGCAGCGGAAGAAAAGAGCCTTGGAGTAGAGGAAAAAAATTCAACTGGAGCTCACGATGTAAACCTTTATCAATTTACATATGTTTCTTTATTAATATCTTATAATTTAAATAAACAGATCAGATGTAAATATAGCATGGTACAATAGAATCTCTATCGTTCCAATAAAACTATTACATAATCTTATTGAATGATCTCGTAATCTATTCTTGAAATTTGCTACCATAAAATGGAATATATCGCACCACTGCTTTCCAGTCTGTAAAGTATAACAGTGATAACCATGCGCTAGTCCCATAAGCCACTGTAGATGTCCTAAAAGAATTATTTGATATCTTGAATAAAAGATATCAGATAGCTAATGTAGTACAAAAGATTATACTTATATCAAAATAAAACAAATCTCTCTTGCTTTTGATGTAAGAAAGAGAGAAATATATGAAAATTATAAAAATAAAACTTTGTTATTTATTTCATGCAGTCATTTAATAGTTAGAAATAACATACGAATGATATCATATTCAATACCATGGGCGTATCCAGGGAAGTGGTTTTGGGTTCAACCCTCGCCTAAAATTTTTTATTAATTATTTCATTTTAGGATGATCCCGTTAGCATATATTCCGATAGCACACATCCACTCATATCGATCGATGTTTAATAATTTTTCACTGCTTTACTAAAAAGAATATTTCATTTTAAATTAGCCAATTAGCGATATAGTATATCAAATCCCTCTTTTCCATTTTTAATGGTAAAAACATACAACTTTACTTTTGACTTTGTGTAAACTTTTGCTGTCAAAATATTTTTTTCTTCTCGTTATAAGATCATATAAGTAATTTTTAATAAAAAGTAAATCAATGCTCAATAAAATAATCCGTTAAAGCTTAGAACATAAGCAAGATGTACTTCGCTATTGTTATAAATAACAAAACATTATATTTAACAAATCAAAATATAAGCGTTTCGACCTTACATCAGCAGGTCATTTTAAAACTACCACATTAAAACAATAACATACTAAAAATTCCAAAAAATTCTAATACGCATACAATATAAAAACCTAAAAAATATTCTAGCAACAAATGCAATCCTGATATGACAATCTTGATATGACCGCACGAAGTTATAAAATCTTCTCTTACACCTGTCCATGTTCAGGACTGAATCTCATCTTATTTTACAGTATCAATTTAATAACAATATAGCCATAATAATTTGCCATGGTATATGGTTATTGGATCTCTAAACGCATAACAATACACCTTGTCCATAAAATCGTGATGATGTATTGCTGTATTACTATCAACAAAGATGATCAGAATCACAGCGCATAATAGTATGTAAAACAATCAGTGTTAAGACCAGAATTCCAAAGGTAAAAAATATGTCATGTTCTTTACAAGTTTTAGTATGACATTGTTTTAATGTAGACAGTAGTTTTAACATTGAAAATGACCTGATGTAAGGTCGAAACGTCTGTATTTTGATTTGTTAAATATAATGTTTTGTTATTTATAACAATAGCGAAGTACATCTTACTTGTGCTCTGAGCCCTTTAATGGATTATTTTAATTAATTTTTAATACTTCTATTACTTCAAGCTTTGACAGAATATGCAATACATAAAGAAAATTTTCATAAAACTTTTAACTCGAATATATAATTGATACATTCAGTAACAAATACAATTGCTCATTGAGCGCTTAGTGAACTCTTGCACCTGCTTAGTCTATGTTTTTATAATTATTTTTATAATTATTTTTTTGAAACAGTATTACAGAATAAGAGAGAGAGAGAGAGAGAGAATTTTACGTTATTTAATATTCTTATTTTGCTCAGAATGTTTAATGTATTTGTTTAATTAATGTAAAAGTTATGTAATGTTTGTAATAATAATAATATTAAAGAATTAAATATTATGTTTGTGTAGTAGTTGTATTACTTTCTTCAAAAAATAAAGTAAAAGTTACATACTATACAAAACGTAACATTTTTCTTTTTCAAAATGAGATACGAGGAGATATTAAAAGCTGCAAAAGTATCCAAATGGAATTCATTAACGTTAAAAATTGTCGAAAATGTCACAATAACGAAATTAGTGCTGTGACGTTCTTTGCAGTGCAACTGCAAAATCCTATTTTTTTAGTTCTCATTCCGGTTGGTTCATGAGGACCATCCCTGGATACATCTGAGGAACATCCCTGGGTTGATAGAAACCCTCTCCCCGAAGAAAATTCCACGATACGCCCATGTTCAATACTCTCTTGCACATTAAGAAGACTACATCGAAGTTGGAATACCAAAAATACTGGAACACTCACCAATTTATTAATTTGATGTTCTTTTGCAGAGGCATTTTTTTTTTATATTGAATTTGCAGTAACAAATCTTTTATTTTTATGCCAAAGAAAGTAAAAGTTGGAGCACTTCAGGAGTACAGAGAATAGGAAACAAGAAATAAGTCTCTGCACAAAATATAAAGTTATCTAGTTCAGAAACATGATGTCAAGCATGGAGTATAAAGAATAGGAGATCGAACTAGGCTTAAAAAGTGTTGTAAACACTTTTGACGACAATAGAGAAAAATATCAGGGCGCTCCTCGTCTCGATTCCAGGTCGATCGCAGAAAAATTTGTCGCATGCTGCAAGAGTGTCACTAAATGAGCATCTACAATAGTCACAACGATTGTTTGCACGCAATTCGACAACAAATTCTAAACGTCAACTTGCTGTGCTGTGATTGGCTGAGCTCATGCGACACGCCTGTCGCAGTCACAGAAAGTTGAAGTTGGCTCGTGTTGGCTTATTCTTAATACCTCACTAGTGCAGCGAGTGTAGAAAGCTTAAGGATTTTGTAGGTAGCGAGTTGCCCAGCAGCATAAAAATAATAAAAGAAAAATTATAACAACAGATCGATTAAGGCGTTCATCCTGTACGGTCATATTAATTTGTGCTCGTGTAACAAAGATTATTAGTTACCAGTTATAAGAAAAGTTTCGATCATTATTTCTTATATCACATCACACTACAAGCGTGGGCTTGTCTACAGACAATCTGACTTATCAATTAAGTCACTTATTCCTATAGGCTCAACTCTGTACGACAAAAGCTCTTGCTACTACGATAATCATGCGACTATATGTGATACTTCTGCGACATTTCATATAACATTCGACAGCTTGTGCGACTATACGAGACTTCAAAGCCGCTTTTTTATATAAGATGCATTCGGCATTGTAAATCGGAGGTATCCGTTTGCTGTTTTACCTCGAAAATCGTTCGACATCTTGCATGATAGATATCATCTCTTTCTGCTAGATATCATCTCATTTGTGTTTGGTATTAATATTTCTAGAGTCAATCGAGCTGCTCGATTCACTCCGGATTCAAAGCTCGCAGAGCTAATGCAAATTTTCGCGCCTAAATTAAATTCATAACCTGTATATTTATGATAATGTATCCAATTGATTCATTAACACATAATGTACATTCATCTCTTTTAATATTTCTGTTTTACAAATAGTGTATTTGAACTGTTATAATGTCTGAGTCTATAAACAAATGCTAACAAATAGATATTGATGGAGTACATTGTGTATAAATATAGTGAGAAAAATAAGTTTTTAATTTTTTCCTCTTTATGAATTTGAAGTTACATATTTGAAAACAAAGAATTTGATAGTTAATTTTTAGATCAAAATTTATATTGCACATATAAAATGAAATAAGATCAAACTGCATTAATATATTAAAGACTCTAACGAATATAAATCAAGTGATATAACTTATAAATTGCTGAAATTTATTTTGCAATGTAGTATTTTCTTTTAAAAAAACACCTTGCATATGAGTCTGCTACATTCATGTGTAATGATCTATTTTTAGATATAAGACTATTATCTATTTTTAGATGTAAGGATGAAATACACATAGTCTGGAATAGAACTGCGAAATATAGAATGCGTCATTGAAACAACCATTCAACGCTATTCTGCGTTATCCGAATAGCGCTAATTGGTTATTTTAATGGCGCATTCTCTATTCCGCAGCTCTTTTCCGCACCGTCCGATTTCATCCTAAGACTATTATCAGTTTCTAGTAAAGCGAAAGAAATTTTCAATTAATAGGGTATTTTTATTTATTTCATAAAAATAAATAATTTCATTTTATAATCCAACCTTAGAAGACAGTTTACAGCTTTGTATCGTTCGAAATTAATTCTTAATAATCGGATTGCTTGAAGATAACGTGATCAAGCTTGCCATCTACTAGCTCGCATCTTAGATGTTTTATCTTAATGGGTGAATTCAGTACAACCGCTCTGAGCGCTCTTGCATCTGATTGGCATATTCCGTTAGAACTTAAAATATAGACCAAACAGATACCAGAGCTCACTGAGCGCTCACTGAGCGGTCGTAGTACTGAATGCACCCATTGATGAACGCACCTATTAGTTGCAAGTCGATCACAAGTTTGTTGCGACAGCCAATCTGAAGCTTGCATTTTGAAATCAATGCTTCATATTGACTACCGCAACAAACTTGCGATCAGCTTGCAACTAATGTAGAATCGGCTTTAGGCATATTGGAGCGTGCGACGCGAACAAATCTCTTCTTATTACTCTGTGAGTTGGACCCAATTCTTAGAGTGTATTTACAAACTTGCATAGCCGCATAAATGTATGCATAAAAAAAATTATCCAATCACATTTCTCCAATAAAGACGCACGTAAAATGTGATTGATGGATAATTTTCTTTGTGTAGATATACCTTTAAGCGGGGAGCACACTCTTGCATAACGCACAACACATAAGACATAAGAAATTCAACCAATCAGAGTTCTTTATTTTATGGAAAGGAAGGAAACAAAGAACTTTAATTGGTATATTTTCTTATGAATTACGTATGTATTATGCAAAAATCTGTGCTCTCCCCTCAGGGCCACCACACAAAATAAACTGCATAAGCATAGCACAAAATCACTAGACTAATGATCCGACATAAAGACGCCATATTGATTTGAATAAAATTTTTATTAGCCCAGCTATGCGTATGCAGCTCATGTCATTGGTGTATTTTAGATCATCCAATTAGCATTTTAGATCTGGAAGAATACATTAATAGCAGCGAGCGCACACTCAACTGTTGAGTCCGCTGAACGCAGCCATTATGTATGATAGCCTTTATTGATCGAGACCATGGATTACTACGTATACGTGATACATTTTCGATTCTGTATCTTTAAATAAGGTAAAAATTACAAAAGTGAGAAAATTTTTCTAGGTGTTAACCAATAAAATTATTAGTATTCTAGTAAATTCGGTCACCTTTGTAATTTTCAAGATACAGAATCGATCCTTTTGTCTTTTTACATCATAGTATACACATGGAATTTTACAAGAAAGTCAATTGTATATTTTGAAATGAGGTGAAAATTTCAAAAGTGAGCAAATTCACTAGATGTTGACTGATTAAATTATGAATATTCCAAAAAAATTTGCTTACTTTTGTAATTTTCACCTCAGGATATTAATCATGAACTTTATCCCTAGGATGGAAAGTGAAAAGTGAAAATTTTAACCGTTGAAATTAAGACTTAAACACAGACATAAATACAGGTAACAGGGAATAACAAGCCGTCCAATCAGAGCTCTGGAATATAATCGAATCTTATACATCAGAGCTCTGATTGAACGGCTCGTTATTCTCTGTTACTTGTGCCTATTGCCTGTGCCTATTGTGTTTAAGTCTTTAATGGAAAAATTTTTCACTTTTCACTTTTCATTTTTCATCCTAGGAAAAAAGTTTTATGATTGATACCCTGTTCGAGACATACAATCAATTTCAAGGTGTTGTATTGCGCATAAATATGGCTGCACGACCACTTAAAAATTGTCCCTAAATGCTAGCATGACTTTCACAAAAAAATAAATAAAAATAATCATATCTATAAAACTATTACAAATTAAATTAAAAGCTAATAAAAAAATAATAATATATAAAAATTCGAAAACATCATATGTAATATATAAAATCGAATCATCAAACATTACATTCATGTCAGTTGCAAATAAAGATGCCATCAATCAATAAATCTGGTAAATCTGGTAATCCGCGCATGTGATTGGGTGATCTTGCTACTTATCCAACAGGAAAAATTTACCAAAAGGTAGAACAACCGGTGGCTCTGACACCAAATGCAGATTCGTGAAAAACCGGTTGTGGGGATGAAATTTATCCCCATCGTCCGTTTTTTATCAATCAGCGTTCGATGTCAGAGCGCTGTTGCCCGTATGAGGATCCAAGCTAATCCAAGCTTTCCACCATAGTACATATATATTGGATCATCTAAAAAGTATCCGCGGTACTTTGTCACTAGATATATGATCATCAACACACATCTAGTGACAAAAAACCGCGGATACTTTTTAGATGACCCAATACTATCTGCGAGAGCCCATAGTGGAAATATCAATATATAAGGTGAAGTACTCCCGTGGGTGCGCAGTAGGAAAGTGCATATTCGAGTATATTTGATTGGCTACTTCCAGTACTGCTACCGCCATTATGTGTAATGTTTCACCTTATATACAATATTTCCATGCGAGAGCCAGTCAGCTAGGTATACCTGAACGCAGTGTTGTTAAATGGACCGGGTTTCAGACGCATGCGCGTCCAATGTAATAGCTTCAGTAACGTACAGATCACTAGTAAATAGGAGATCATTAGTCGCCCATGTAAAATTTTTTCAAAAATGTTGAAAATTTTAATATATTTTAATATATTTTACATATTTTATATATGTATACATATATAGAAATATATATAATATGTAAAATATATTAAAATTTTCAACATTGTCAACCCTAAGCGACTAATGATCTCTTATTTATTAGTAGTACCGATACGTTATTGAAGCTACATTGGATGCGCATGCATTTGAAAACCCGGCCCGTCTAACAACACTGCCTGACGCTCCTGACACTCTCGACGCTCTCGACGTCCTCGACGGCTCGGCCTCAGCCAGGCTCGGCGAGCACGTCCAATCACGTCCGACATAAACGTCACTTTGATGGTGCGCGCTACGAATGCCGCGATGAGCGAGGAGTGACGCGAATGCTACGACACGATTTTTCCCTCCCAGCTCCCAGTGGCTTCCAGTGGCTCCCAGTGGTTCCTAGTACCGCGAAGCAACGCATCACGGCACATTCGGCAAGAACGAAGGTTTGGAATTTTACGCGTTTCCGTGTTCAAGAACGGTTCAGTTGCTTCTATAGCATTGAATGTGCCTGGATATGAACGCCAAGCGTGCTCCGCTCGGTACAGTGGATCGACGAGTACGGCTCCGGAGGGAGGACGCCCGACAGGCGGGGGACCGGGGACCGGCGCGCAACGGAGTCGTGCGAAGTTTTCGACGCGTATTGGTGAGGTGGTACCGAGTGGTGCTGTGATCGCCGGTACATACAGTGGTGTGTGCTAGCGGTGTAGTGGAATTTTCAAGGCGAAATCTCAGGAAAACCGTGTCTTCTTTGTCTCTCAGATCCGACAGGTAAATACAAATACGTGCATCATGCGGCAAGACGCGACGACGCCGATTAATGCCAATGATCGCGTTCTCGCTT